AAAAAAAAAAAAAAAAAAAAAAAAAGGGTATCGGAAAGGTACTTTAAACAGGCCCTGGACACCACTGTTGTGCATCCTGCACAATGCCTGGCTCTCTTTGCAGTGTCCATGCACATGGACTCTAGAGTTATTCCTATAGCCCTTCATGTCCATTCTCCTTGTAGTGTGGCTGCCTCCAACTGGAGCCAGGCCGTGCTGCTGGCTGCTTGCTCTGCCTGGCATGGAGCTGGGCAGCCTCGCTGCCCCAAGTCCAGCAGGCTGTCCAGTTCCACCGCCAGAACCAGTTCTCCTGGGTCTCGCCCACCATCCCTCCCCACTGGCCAGCAGCCCTACTCCTCCCTCAGTGCCCCTAGTGGACTTCCAAAGCGGGTCAGCCTCCTGGCCTCCTCCACAGCCATAAGAGCTTCACCTGTCATGCTGGGATGCTGTGCTGCAGGTTTCAGCAGGTGGCTCTCTGTGGGGAGGTGATCTGTCCATGTGGACCTTTGCTGATCTCCCTGCTGGCACCACTGAGTACCACAGCACTCTCCTTGGGATGGCCTGTGTGTCTCCGTCCCAGCTCATTGAGCTGCAGGCTTGCTCGCTGGCTCCCAGATGCCTCCACACCACCCAGTAGTATGATTTCAGGGATGAAGGAAACTTGCAATTCAGAGCAACATTAACAGAAGAGCAGGCAAGGTAAATGATGAGGACAGTGAAGAGGGCTCTCCCAACAATATCAAAAAGGGATGCATGGGACCCTGACCCCAACATACGGCAGATGTGGATTAGAGTCCCTGGCCCTGGGCTGGCAGGGAACAGAGGAGAACAAAACAGTTAATAACTTGATCTTCTCAAAGCTGAGGAGAACTTCAGGACAGCCTCCCAGGGCAAGGAGCCACCAGCTTCAAGGAAAAGAATACTAGGAAAATTTGAGATTATATGAAATATTTGATATCAAGAAAATTTGAGATTATTTTAACACAGGAGCAAAACAGCACCAAAATGCTAATGTTTTTGAAGACCATCATAAGCACATAAATACATCTCTGAAATGTGAGCAATCCATAAGACAAGAGATGAATTTTCTTGATACCCAAAGAGCACATGAAGATAATAATAAAAACAGGAAAAATGAAACTGGAAGGAAGCAAAGGACATGTGAAGCTCCCTCCCCAAGGAGCCTGTGCGAGGAGGCAGGGCCCTGGGTTGGAGCCAGGGCAGGTGGAGGCTTCACCACCTGGGAGCTGTGTGACCTCCACATGGGCCCCCCAAACAAACAGTAAGTGCCAAATAAAAATATTGTTTTTTTCTTTTTTAAACTGGATCTTGCTCTGTAATTCTGGCTGGCCTTGAACTCACTATGGGGCTCAGGCTGGTCTTGAACTCAGTGATCCTGCCTCAGATTCCCAAGTGCTGGGATTACAGGCATGTGCTACACCTGGCACGTCCAGCTATTTTATTTTTTGTTT